GTGCTCGTGGGACGCGCTTGTCTGGGTGAGGCCGCATAGCTCTGATTCCGCCTCCCGTCCGACTCTGGCTCGCATCTGTCCGACCCCCGCTCCCACCACTTGGCGGCGGGCGAGGGGGGGAAGTGAGAAGGAGAAGGCCGCTCAGAAGGCGGCGGGACTTCAGAAGTTTTGTCTCTCTCCGGGGAAGGCTCAGAAACTTCGCAGAAGGCCGGGGGGCTTCCGAGCCGCCCCTTCTCTCATTTCCCCTCCTCGCTCGCTGCCGACATCCGACTCTGGCTCACATCTGTCCGACTTCCGCTCCCACTGTCACTTGGAATGAATTCCTCCCCGGACCTCTCCCAGGGTGCGTTCTGGCTAGGATATCAAGGCGAATCCAGCGGTGTGGGGACGAGGGCCGCGAAAGAGGCCCACAAAGGCGAAAACGAGTCGAGGGTAGAGGTAATTATGGGTACCCTTCCCTCCTCTGAACATCTCATCTGTCCGACTCCCGCTCCCACTACCACTCGGAATGAATCTCGTCCACGCTGCGGCCTGACCCTTCGTAGGGTTGAGGAAGACGATCAATGGAGAGGGGGAATGATGCCAAATAGTTTCCAGATGTCTCGAACATGTCTCAAGCGTGTCATTCATGTGCTAAATCATGGGTTAAACATTTTTCGAACATGTTAGAACATGTGCAGAAGACATCTCGAAGTCATGGGGTCATTCAAGGGCAGAACGGTTAGAGTGTCCGATGTCATGGCGCATCCACAATCGTAGGGCCCCGACCCGCCCGCGCTGCCCTCCGCAATCAGGCCCAGTCCCGTCGCACCCGCTTGTGTGCGCTCGACTCGCTGCGCCGCTCGCTCGCTCCTCGCCTGGTGCCGTCGATCGCCTTCGGAGTCGACGCCAGCAAAGGTTTCTCGGGGAAGCGTAAGACTCGAGTAAGCCAGAGCGCGGGTTTGCCGGCGTTTTCTTTGGCGAGCGCGTCCTGGAGTTTGACGGCCCAGTTTTGCTGGAAGTCTGCAGCGGGAGCTCGCGTCAGATTTCAGATTGGGCCTCGTCGTTTTTGTGATGGCCCCGTCAGGCCAACCCGAGTCCCCCGTACCCGAGTCTTGCGTCTTCCCTGGTTTTGGACGTTCTCTTCTGCGGTTCCCGGGGGGGCGTTCTCGCCTCAGGATGCTCTAGGCCTCCCGGATGGGGTCGGAGTAGATGGTCGTCGGAGGATCGCGCCTCATCGCCGATGCATCGGCGACGCGGCGCGATGTGGATCCCGATGTTCTCCACGCCGACGTCGCCGATGCATCGGCGATGTGTCGTCGATCCTCCGACCCCATCTGCTCGGACCCTGTCTGAAGGGCCTCCGGATGCGCCCCGGCAGCTACGCTTCGCCGTCGACTTCTGCGCTCGCCGGCGGCGCCTGGAGGCTCTCCTGCCGTCGACGCTGGCGTCGAGCGGCGCTCTCGGCGCTGGGCGTTCGCGGGCTCCCGCGCTGGGCTCTCGGGCTCTCTCGCCGGAAGGGTCGATTCGATCGTGAGCCCGACGCCGGTGGTGCTGCTGGACGTTTTCGTCGGCTTCTCGGGAGCCAGGAGCAAGGACGTACACGTACATGAGTCCACGCTGGCTTCGAGAGAACGCCTTGCACGCAAGTTCGTACCACGCGGCCGGTCTTCGCAGATCGAGGGGCCGTGCTCCTGTACACAGCTGGGCGCGTAATTACGTCCTGTGTGTGGGCTCCCTATAGTTTCGTCGGGCGCTCGCGTCGGAGAGCCGCGGGTTCGATCTCGAGTCCGATGCCAGGGGGGTCTCTGGACCTCCTCGGCGGGTCCCGGTGGGCTCTCCTGCCTCGGCGGGCGTGCCCACGGCCGTGCCTATCGCCGAGGGCGCTCCGGCGGGGTGGCCATCGAGGTCGCCCCGAGCGGCCGCCGGAGGCCTGCGCGGTGTGACCACCCGGGAGGCGGGGCCGGGGTCGCTGCGCGGCACCCGCGGAGCTCTGTTGCCGCCTCCGCCCCCTGGCTCCCCGCTCGCTCCTCCCGGGGATGCCCTCGCTCGCTCCCTCGCTCCCTCGCTCCTCCTCCCTCGCTCCTCGCTCCCTCGCTCCCTCGCCCTTTTTCTGCCTCCTCGCCTGGCTCCTCGCTCCTCCTGGGGATTCGAGCCAGGCGCGCCCACGTGCCGCTTCCGCCACCGTGTGGACAGAGGGGTTTATGTTTATGCTGTGTTTTCTTTGTCTTCTTTTCCTAACCACTTCCGCCACCGTGTGGACAACGCAGTCCGGAGGCGGGTGGTGCGTCCGAAAGTGCCCGAAAGGATGGGGCCTGGCCAATATGCGTCCTGGCGACGCTCGACCTGTGTTGGAAGGGCCGCGGCAAACCACGGGCGCAGCAGAGGGTGACGGGGAAGAGGGACGGCAGGAGGGAGGCGACGACGAGGAGGCAAACAAGGCGCCCACCAGCGGCAACTCCTGTGATCCTCGCGCCTCCTTCCTTCAATTCTTCCTGTTAGGACCTCTCGAGGCTCTGCGGGCGGTTCACCCCGCTGTTCGGCTCTCCGCCGACGTTGGCGACTTCGGCTCCGTGCGATGGGGCGCGGCATCCCGGGGTCGCCAGTGACGCCGCTGCGGCAGGGCGTCTCCTCAACCGGCGCATTCGCGCGGTCGGTCTTCTCTTTTTGCTGTTCGGGCGGCGATCGCTCGTGTGCGGTCGCTCCGAGAGAGGTCTCGGGTTATAATGCTCCAACCCCTTTTAGCCTTGATCACCAGTTTCGAGCACCAAGAAAGTACCGAAGATGAAGGGTTTTCGCGTGTCGGGCCCTGGGAGGCGGTACTCGTTCGACACTGTTTTGACATTTCCTGGGTGCTCGAGATTATTTCCGGGATGTGTCCCTTAAGTACGTTGGGAGCAACCTAACTCTTGCGTTGGACTTTTGGGCCAGGGCTCGTCGGCAGCGATGCCGACGCGTTTTTATTAGTTGTTTTGCCGATCGGCGCGGGCCCTCGCCCACCCACCCCCCCGCCATGGAGTAGATCTTGGCTGCTTTGGGCGTCCGTCTCGAGCAGGGGGAGTCCCCCGGAGGACGCACGGTTCCGAACAGCCGCGCTGAGCAGAGGCCCCGGAGCCAGGGCCCCCTCCCCCCCCTCGTGCCGCGTCGTCGAAGCGCCGAATATAGAAAAGCGCTCACGAGGCGCACTGGGGCCGCGAGGCTCCGCAGGGCCCGGGTGGATCCACCCCTGCGTGGATCCAGGGCCCGCGGGGGAGAGCGCTCGGCGGGAGTGGCGCGCGCGGCGCTCGAGGCGTCGGCGCGGCACTGCGCTTCGGCGACGGGGAGGATGGGCACATTTTCAACCACCACTACCATAGGTAGGAGAGGGATGGGGGAGGAGGAGGAGTAGGAGGAGGAGGAGGAGGAGGAGGCGGAGGAGGAGGCGGAGGCGGAGCGGAGGAGAAGGAGGAGGATGAGGAGGACCTCCTCATCTTCCTGTCCCACCCGTCCTACATGTGGTAGTGGTGGTGGAAAATGTGCCCATCAGGGGAGGCGCGGTCGAGAACTGGAGGTTCATCGAGGCGCGACTGGCAAGCTTCGAGCTTCAAGACCATCGTCTCAATGGCAGGTCCAGGACCATCTCTCTCTCTCCCTCGTGCTTCCCCCGTGCCGCAGGTGGACCCCATCGACAGAGCTTCGCGGTGGCCTGCGAATTCCTGACTGCGCGCCCGATGGCATTCGTGGTTGCCCCAGGGGTCTCTCCATTTTGGGCTCCGTGTGGCCCGTGCTCGGCCGCGCAAGCTGGATCGCCTCCATCAAGGGCTCGTTCGGTGCCCTGTGGGCCTTTCTCAGGCGAGTTGTGAGTGCGGCTTCTTCGGCCTCTTCTCGGGCTTGGCCTGACGGGCCCATCGTCGCGCCATGCGACGATTGCCCCTATCAGAAAGCAGTTGCTTCTGCGTAGTGCTGCGGAGGTCCCGATCGGGGGCAGGTTGGGGCCAGCGCCTCCTGGCCAGTCACCAACCCCGTTGCAAGCGCAGCCGAGTCGATTGTTGCTATCGATACTCTGCGCTTTGCCCTTCCACCTGTCAGAGTCTGTCAGAGGTCACACCGACTCCCTCTACGCGCGCGACGTTTTCACGAGCGTGGCCAGCCCGGTACCACTTCATGTGCATGGCCTCTCACGCTCACCTCTTGGCAGCCCCGCGAGAATTGGGGAGGAGGTTTCGAATTGCTCAAAGTCAAGGGCCACATGGCCCATGTTGACGTTGACTTGGGGCGCATCGCGCAGCGACCGACAAAACTTCGGCAATATGAATGCTGACGAGTGCGCCCGCAATGCTGCCGAGTTTGCCGGGCTCGCCTTTGACTGTCAGCAATAGCTCAGAGCCAGTAGCGACAACCTCTTAAGTTGGGGTACCTGGATGGGGCGGCCTGGGGGGGTCTGGGGGATTGCGGCTATCCTGCTAAGCATCTCCGTGGCAAGACCCCGTCTCTCAGCTGGATCTTGTTGAGTATCCTGCGCCCTCTGGCGTCGTCATTCGTGTCGTTGCTGCCCATAGGAGGCGTGGCGCTGGCCCCAAGTTGCACGCCCTTGCCAAGCTCCAACTGCAAGATGACCCGCTAGTGTTTGGATCGGCTCACCCCACAGGTAGTGGGCTTCACCTGCCTCAAGTGATTTGCGAAACATGGAATTCACACTCGGTGCGACGGTGTACCGTGTGGCAGAGCTTTCTGGACCACGGGTCGAGTGCAACGCCCCAAAGTGGCTTCAGTATGGTTGATTCAGGAATGCCGCAACTCGGGCCCGGGCGGAGGGAGGAGGAGGAGGAGGAGGAGGAGGAGGAGGAGGAGGAGGAGGAGGAGGAGGAGGAGGAGGAGGAGGAGGAGGAGGACGAGGAGGAGGAGGAGGAGGAGGAGGAGGAGGAGGAGGAGGAGGAGGAGGAGGAGGAGGAGGGGGAGGGCGTCCACTGTCCACCCTCGCTCTCCCCGTTGGAGCTTCCCCTCCCGCGGCGGAGGCGCCCGCCCCCGCGGCGGCCGCGAAGCCGGACGCTTCCGCCCCAGGCGGGGCACCGCCCGAGCCGCCGCACTGTGCCAGCAATGCGTAGGGGCTCAAGAGTCGGGGGTCAATGCAAACGGGGGTCAGCCAGAGCGCCGGATCTTGCAGGATCCTGCAGAGGCAGGGCCGTATTGACCCCGGCTTGGGTGCAGGATCATGCAAGATCCCACCGGACCTGCATGGCCAGGGTCGCACTGACCCTGGTTTGGGTGCAGGATCTTGCAGGATCCTGCAGGATTCTGCAAGGCCTGACTGACCCGGGTCTAGATTGACACGGGTCAGCAGATCCCCGACCTGTCTCTGCGTCGGCTGTATGTAGGAGTGACTTTGGGCGCGGGCACACTGGCGTCCCCAGATGCCGTGAGATCCTGGCGTTGCAACTTTTTCGCAACGGGCGTTTTCGCTCCATGTCGGGCCCCGGGACCATCACAGATCGATCTGGCTCGACAAACGATGCAGAGAGATGGGGTCCGGGGCGCCAGGCGTGGCTTTCTGCGATGTTGCATTTTGACTGCCACGCCGGACCTCAGGGTGGCTGGCAGCGATGTGATGGCGACGGGCTGCGCGCTCCGATGCGGCCTCTCCGCGGCCCCCGAGAGTCGCGCACCAGGAGCCACGCTGACCTGGGGCCAGTCTCGCGTGTAGCCGCGCAGTGTCGGCGGCCCGCCGCGGGAGGACGGCCCCGTCGTCGTCGTGGCCCCTTCGCGCTCGGCGCGGCCGCCTCCTCGGGTCGGCCGGAGCGGGCGCGGGAGGGCTGGGCACCAAGACCGGCAGCATGCCCTGAGCCTTTTGGGCAGGACTCGCTGTCGGTGTCACCGCGGACGTGGCCCATTCGAGACACAGGGCCGCCTGCCCGACGGCGGCCGCTGTGGGTTTTGGGCAACACTTGCTGTTGGCAATCGCGGCGATTTTTTCTGTACCCAGCTCGGGCCTCCAAAGTACTTACTGGCGGCCCGCCGTCGGAGCTCGGCCTCGTCGTCGTCGTCGCGGCCTCTTCGCCGTCGCCGACGCGCCGCCGACGTCGCCGATGCATCGCCGGTCGCTGTGTCGGCAGCCTTCCGCGGGAGGTCGTCGCCGTAGCCTCTTTGCGGTCGGCGCGGCCTGTTCGTCTTCGCCGACGCATCGCCGACGTCGCCGATGCATCACCGATGCATTGCCGACGTGGCGCGATCTTCTGACCCCACCTACTCCGGCCACATCCAGGATCTAGGCGGCCTCTAACGATTTCAGAGTTGTCAGGTTCCCCGCAGGCCGTTCGGGAAGCCGACGATGACGGAGGAGGGCTCCCGTGATCTCGAGGAGATCTCTGGCGGCGCCGCCGCGCTCTGTCGACTGCCCGCCGCGGGAGCTCGGCCAACTCGTCGTCGTGACGCATCGCCGACGCGGCGCCGATGCATCACCGATGTCTCTCCGAGGCAGTGCCGATGCATTGGCGATGTGGCGCGATCCTCGGAACCTATCTACTCGGGCCCCATCCAAGATCCAGGCGGCCTCTAATGACTTCAGGAGGTCTGAGGTGCCAGGTTCCTGCATCTCAGCCCACTCACGAAGAAGAGGATTGCGCAGGAGGTTCGAGTGATCTCGAGGAGATGCCGGCGGCGCCGCCACGCCCCGTCGGCCACCTGGAGCTTGGCTTCGTGGTCGTCGTGGCCACCACTCGGGGGCCCCGTTGTCGTATCGAGTGTCGAGGTTTTCGGACGTTTTCGTCTGCTCCCTTCGGCTCCCCAGCCGCGGGGGCGCGTTCGGCGGCTGCGCCTCGCCGAGAGCGTTCCGGGGGTGCTCAGATCGTCCGGAAACGCCGCAGGCGACAACGAGATACGGCGCATTATGAGGAAAATCCTGGAGGCCTCGCGCGGCGCGTAATAGTAGTATTATCTAGTCCACACGTCAGCTCCGTAAGCTATGAGTTGACGATCGCGCGGCGATGCTCCAGAGTCGGTCCGACGTGCATCCGACGTAAAAGTCCAACGCAGTCTGACGTGATTTCGACGCAAATCCGACGTGAATCCAATGCAGTCCGATGTGAACCAGGCGTGGATCCGACGTAAATCGGGCCTCACGTTGCCGCGCGAGACCTCTCCAGGATGTTCCTCGTAGGGCTCGAACACGCGACTCTTGGGACGGGGACGGGCTCAAGGGGGGAGCGTATCGACCCCGAGCGCCCCTTCTTCGCCGATGTGGGCCTGTCCCTCTACAGGAGGAATATTCAAAAATTATCAAAAACAGTCTGGGGACGATGTTTCGAGTATGTTTGATCGTTTTTGTGTATGTTCCCTACCTAGGCTCTGCCTAGAAGGGTTCTTACTCTCATGGGGGGAACCGGTCCCCGCCCCGCGGTTCCCACAGTCCCCTGGGAGCTTTAGCTTTAGCTTTAGTTTTAGCTTTAGCTTAGCTTTAGCTTAGCTTTAGCTTAGCTTCAGCTTAGCTTTAGCTTAGCTTTAGCTTAGCTTTAGCTTAGCTTTAGCTTAGCTTTAGCTTAGCTTTAGCTTAGCTTTAGCTGAGCTTTAGTTTAGCGTTGGCTTAGCTTTAGCTTAGCTCCAGCTTAGCTTTAGCTTAGCGTTAGCTTAGCTTTAGCTTAGCTTTAGCTCAGTTTCAGCTTAGTTTTAGCTTTAACGTTAGCTTTAACTAGCTTTAGCTTAGCTTTAGCTTAGCTGTAGCTCAGCTGTAGCTCAGCTTTAGCTTAGCTTTAGCTTAGCTTTAGCTTAGCTGTAGCTCAGCTGTAGCTCAGCTTTAGCTTAGCTTTAGCTTAGCTTTAGCTTAGCTTTAGCTTAGCTTTGGCGTAGCTTTAGCTTAGCTTTAGCTGAGCTTTAGCTTAGCTTTAGCTTAGCTTTAGCTTAGCTGTAGCTTAGCTTTAGCTTAACTTTACTGTTACTACTAATGCTGCTTTCCTAGGGGCTCCAACTCCTAGGTAGGGTCTCGAACATCCGCTTGTAGGAGGACGTGCCCGACCTAACGATAGGGGCTCGATATAGGCCACGCCGCCCGGGAGACTGTGCGGTTGCGCCATCGGGCGCCCTCTCGCTGGTTTTAAGCCGGGCATGCCCCTCTACAGGAGGAATATTCCAAAGTAGTCAGCAAATAGTTTGGGGACCTCTTTTCGACTCTTTTTGAATCTGTTTGAGTATTTTGCGACTAGTTTTAATCTTTCGTCCAACATCTCTTTGTAGGAGGACATGCCCGACCTAGCTATCGGCCGATAGGGGCCCGATGTAGGCCACGCCGCCTGGGAGAGTGTGCGGTTGCGCCGTCGGGCGCCCTTCCCGCTGATCTGTGTGTGCGGGCGGCATGTCGCCAGTGTGCCCAGGTCGACGGCTCCCCTTTTGTAGGGCTCGCTTCGGTTTCGCCGGTTCGATTCGATCCGATTTCGATGGCCTCCGATTCCGATTCGACCTGACCTGGGATTCCGCTTTGGGCGCCGAGTCCTCGATGGAGGCCTACTAGCCTGGCGATGTCCGCTAATCCGATTTTTCCCGACTCGGCTGCCGATTTCCGCCGATCCGATTCATTTCGATCGCCGATCCCACTTATCGATTCGATTCTGGGCTTTCCTGTCCCCCCCCTGTAGTTCCCTCTCATCTTCGTCGCTGGCGTAGCCTTTTCGTCGTCGTCGGGGGGGGATGGATTGAGCAGGTTTGAGGTGTTCGTCTCTGCTCGGGCCGTTCACTGGAGGACGAAGGGGGTTCAGTGATCGTGACGAGATGCCACAGGAGATCCAGGAGGGGCAAGGGGAGGTAAGGAGGGACGACGACGGAGCATTGGAAGAGGTGGAGTGAAGAGTACAAGTGCGTAAACAGGCTCTTCGGACGTCCGCGCGGCTTGCCTTGGATCAGGACGGGCCGAGACCGTCCGACAACCTCAATCCTCGAGCCTCGAGGATCGTGGTGGCGGAGGGAGGAGGCAGGAGAAGGCGGGAGGGAGGTTGTGGGAGGTCGGCGGACGGAGGAGGAGGAGGGGGGCGTACGAGGGCAGAGGACCAGAGTAAACCCAGGATGCATCAACGGCGTTGCCGTGCGCCCTCCCTTCACGAGTCCCCTCCTCCCTTCCCTGTAGCTGCTGGAGCCTTCCAGCTTCGGGGCCGCAGGCGGCGAGGTGCTCTCGTGGGCGAAACGCGGGGCCCTCCCCCTGCCGAGACGTCTTGGTGGCGCCACAGGGGGGAGTCCTCTAGGAGGACAAGTGATGAAGGGCGGAGGAGGGAGGAGGATGGACGAGGTGGAGGAGGAGGAGGAGGAGGAGGAGGAGGAGGAGGAGGAGGGAGGAGGAGGAGGGAGGAGGAGGGAGGAGGAGGAGGAGGAGGGAGGAGGAGGAGGAGCAGAAGGAGGAGAAGGAGGAGGAGGAGGAGGAATACTAATAATAATAATAATACTAATAATAATAATACTAATAATAATAAGAAGAAGAATAAGGATAATACGATTAATAATACGAATAATAATACTAACAAGAATAATGATACTAGTAATAATACTAATAAGAAGAAGACGAATACTAATAATAGCAATAAAATGAGTAAGAACAATACTAATACTCATAATACTTTTTAATAATAATAATGATAATAATAACACTACTAATAAGAATAATAGTACTAAGACAAATAATAAGAATAGTAATACTAATACTAATACTATCAATAACAAGGAGAAGAGGAGGAGGAGGAGGAGGGGGGAGTGATTAGGAGGAGGAGAAGGTGGAGGAGGAGGAGGAGGAGGAGGGAGGAGGGAGGAGGGGTTAGGAGGAGGAGGAGGAGGAGGACGAGGAGGAGGAGGAGGGAGGACCAGTGTAAACCCAGAGCGCATCAACGATGCTGCAATTCGGTGGCCCAACGGGCCAGAGGCGTGCTGAAGTCTCCGGTAAGCATTCAAGGGTGTTTCTGGCTCGCGCGTGCGTGGCGGCCCCTTGGGGTCCCCGCAAGAGACGTACCCCGGCAGGGTCCTGTCAGGGCCCCGGCAGTGTCCCAGCAGGGTCGGGCCAGAGGTGTTGGGAGCCCCCGAATTCGGTGATGAGATCTCAGGTGGTGACCTGGAATTCCCAACAAGTCACCGCCGGGTTTTGGAGCACGAGGTGGAGGAGGAGGAGGAGGAGGAGGAGGAGGAGGAGGAGGAGGAGGAGGAGGGGAGGAGGAAGGAGGAGGAGGAGGAGGAGGAGGAGGAGGAGGAGGAGAGGAGGAGGAGGAGGAGGAGGGAGGAGGGATTAGGAGGAGGAGGACGAGGAGGAGGAGGAGGAGGAGGTGGAGTTGGAGGAGGAGGTGGGGTCGCCGCTGGGATTTTCGGACCCCTGGACCCACCGGCGCTCCTGGACGTCCCCGGAGAACCACGCGAGTCCACAAAAACCGGGTGGTGACCTCAAATCGCCCGAGTCTGACCGCTGGGTGTTGTCACCACCACGTTTGGGGACCGCCAGAGGTGCCAGAGCTCTTGGGCGCGGTCTCGGGGGCCGCCCCGAGCGCCTCAACGAGGCACCACAAGGGTGTCGCGCCCCACGGCCCCAGGCTAAGAGCGTTCCAAGATAGCCCACGCTGGTCCCACGAGGGCCCACGAAGCGCCCAAGAAGCTCCAGGAGGGTTCCAAGAGGACTTCGAGAGGCCCCGAAGACTCAACAATCACTGATTTCGCTAAAGTTTTCGGGCGATTTTGGCGGTACCGCCTTTTCGAGCTGCCGGCCGCCCTGGACGGCCCAAGAGGCCCCCAAATATCCCAAGATGGCCTTCAGACTGCCTAAGAGGCATCCAAGACAGCTCCAGGATGGCCCCAAGAGAGGGCCCAGAAGGGGAACCCGAACAGATATTTCGAGCTCGCGGCCCAAGAGGCGCCCAGGAAGCCCCGAGAGCCTCCCAAGAGCCCTCCAAGAGGCACCAAAAGAAGCCCCAAAAGAGGCTCCCCAGACTACCAACAGGCCCCCAAGACGCCGCCAAGAGGCCCCCCGGAGGCTCAGAACTTCCCCCAGAGGCTCCCGAGAGCCCTCCCAAAAGACCCAAAGACGCATCCACGAGGACTCTGACCCACAACCCAGGCACGTGTCGAACTGCTGGAGCTCTCTTGAGCCGTCTTGGCGCCCTCTGGGGCAGTCGATCGGCTCTCCTCGACAGGGTGCGAGCCACATCTCCGAAGATCTCCTCGAGGACAGTCCCCCCTGCCCTACCGTTCCCCATGGGTACGAGCACACCACCATGCACTTACCGTGATGCGAAGTGGGACGGCGGAGTGAAAGAAGCGATTCAATAAACCCTCCCTCCAAGTTCTTTGTTCATAGGTCCCATGCAAGAGTTCGTTTCCATTGCAGGACGCGCCCGATTGAACGACAAAGATCATGGGATATAAACGCCGTGAATCAACGTGACTTTTCCGTCTGGCATTCCTGAGTAGCGCCTGAACACCAGTCCTGGGACTTTGACACCGGGAGTCAACATGACTGCGTCCTTTCAATCCTAAATCGTGCCAGGACGCTATCCCTGGGACTTCAAACCCTCGAAACTACAGCAAACATTTGAGACGATTGCGCGCGGCGCTAAGGCAAGAGCCACATGCTGCAAACCAGCCGCCATCTTTCCTTGAAACTGCTGCACACTTCAACGATGAATGTGCGCGGCGCTGAGGCGAGAGCCACTTTTTGAAATCCAGCCGCCTTCCACCCTTGAGGTTGCTTCAAATCTTCATCGTCAGGATCGTACATGTAGTGGAAGCCTCTGGCGAATCGCGATTCCCGTCCTGCCGACATGTCTGGGGGTGCGACAGGGAAGATGTTTTTCCAGGAGAAGATAGAGGAGGAGGAGGAGGAGGAGGAGGAGGAGGAGGAGGAGGAGGAGGAGGAGGAGGAGGAGGAGGAGGAGGAGGACGACGACGAGGAGGAGGAGGAGGAGGAGGAGTGCAGGAGGGCAGGAGGGGGGAAGAGGAGGAGGGCAGGAGGAGGGGAAGAGGAGGAGGGCAGGAGCAGGACGGGGGCGCCGCGCCCTTCGCGCCGCCGCCAGGCCCGCGCGACGCCCGGCAGAAGCTCGAGGAGCCCGCCGGCGCCGGCGCGGTCGGCAACATGCTGCGGGTGCCCCCCCCCCCCTGCAGGGCTCGCCTCGATTCCTCCGATTCGATTCGATCCGATGTTGATGGCCTCGGAGTCCGATTCGATTCGGCTTCGGGTTCCGATTTGGGCTCCGATTTCTCCATGGAGGCCCATGAGCCTGGCGATGTCTGCCGATTCGACTTTTCCCGACTCGGCTGCCGTTTTCCGCCGATCTGACTCATGTCGATCGCCGATCCGACTAGTCTATTCGATTCTGGGCTCTCCTGCCCCCCCCTCTCCGGCGGAGCGGGGATTTCAGTCGGGCATGTCCCTCTACAAGAGGACAACTCAAAGATAGTAGGAAAGACAGTCTGGGGACGATTTTTCGAGAATCATCTTTTGCTATGTTTGAGTAGTTTTGATTCGTTCCTTCAAAATCCCCCCGTAGGAGGACGTGCCCAAGCTAAAGGTTGGACTGGGACAGCTCGCCCCAGAGTTAGGTGGGGCGTGCCCCCCTAGACGGGGATCTTGAGCGAACGAAGTAAAAGTACTCAACAAATACTCCCGAAATGCTCGGACATGGTCAAAACATCGTCCCCATATTATTTTTGGAGTATTTTTTATGATTCCTCCTCTTCGAGGGAGAGGCCCGGCTTAAGCCCAGAGCTTTCGGGAACGCTTTAGAGGCGTTCTGGAGCGCTCCGGAGCGGCCGCGGCGCCCGAGGCCTGTCGGCCACGCGCAGAGGGGGGGGGCGCAGGGGGAGGGGGAGGGGGGAGGACGTCTTGGAGGAGGAGGTGGAGGAGGAGGAGGAGGAGGAGGGAGGAGGAGGAGGAGGCAGGAGGAGAAGGAGGAGGAGGAGGGAGGAAAAGGAGGAGGGAGGAGTAGGGAGGAGGAGGAGGAGGAGGAGGAGGAGGAGGAGGAGGAGGAGGAAGAGGAGGAGGAGGAGGAGGAGGAGGAGGAGGAGGGAGGAGGGAGGAGTATGGAGGAGGGGAGAAGGAGGAGGAGGAGGAGGAGGAGGCACCCTCTTCTTAGAAGGCGCGGGCCTTAATTTCACGTATACGTGTAAGGCCATCGCCTTCTAAGGAGCAGTTCCTTCCCAAGAAGCTTTCCCCCTTCCTTCTAATTACCCCACTCTGCGCGCCGCCCACAGTGGCCGAAGGTCCCAGCTTGCCTATAATAATCACTTTTTTTTCTGGCGCTCCGCGCAGATTGCCTGGATCCTCGCTCGGCCCCCCCTCGCTGGAGGCGCCGCCCCTTGCGCGCTCCGCGCGCCAGACAGGTTGGCCCAGCGCCGATCCAAGATGTCCGCGCGGAGCGCCAACAGTCTATGTTCACGCCGTCTTTGTTTGTCTGCGAGCGTGGGCCGCCCCCCCACCCCTGCCCAGGGCTCGTCTCGATTCTCCCGATTCGGTTCAAGTCAATTCGATGTCGATGGCTTCCGATTCCGATCCGATTCGACTTCGGACTTCGATTTGGGCCCCGACTTCGCAGTGGAGGCACACGAGCCTGCCGACTTCTGCCGATGCAGCTTCTCCCAGCTTGGCTGCCGCTGTCCGCCGATCCGACTCCTGCCGATCGCCGACCCGACTTCTCGATTCGATTCGAGGAGGAGGAGGAGGAGGAGGAGGAGGAGGAGGAGGAGGAGGAGGAGGAGGAGGGAGGAGGAGGGAGGAGGAGGGAGGAGGAGGAGGAGGAGGAGGAGGAGGAGGAGGAGGAGGAGGAGGAGGAGGAGGAGGAGGAGGAGGAGGAGGAGGAGGAGGAGGAGGAGGAGGAGGAGGAGGAGGAGGAGCCCCCCCCCCGCCGAGGTGCCGACGCCGATCCGGAGCAGGAGGCCAGCGCTCCGCGCCGCGCTCGCCGCGCGATGGCGGGGCCCGAGGGCGGGGGGCCTCGAGGCGGGCGCGGGAGCGGCGGCCTGGGCCTCCCCAGAGAGGGGCGGCCTGGGCAGACGGGACGGGGGCTTGAGGATCGCGCCGCACTGCCGGTGCATCCGCGGTGGGCATGTCCTCCTACAGGTGGGCTGTGGACGAAAAACAGAAAGTAGTCCGAAAGTAGTCAACGATAGTCGAAAAATCGTCCCCTGGTTATTTTTGTTACTGTCTTTGAAGCTTCCTCCTGTGGAGGGTCAGGGCCGACGTAGAGCGAAGAAGAAGAAACGCCACACGCAGAAGCTTTTGGCGCTCCGCGCGGGGCCCCCCCTGGCGGCGCCTCAGGCGCCAGCCCTGGCGCGCTCCGCGCGCCAGGGAGGGGGGCCAGCGCAGATCCAAGAAATCTGCGCTGAGCGCCAACAGTTTATGCTTATAGCGTTTTTTCTTCTTCTAGATGCGTCCGCGATGTGGCTCGATGTGGAGCCCAACGTTCTCCACGCCGACGGCGCCGATGCATCGCCGACGTCGCCGATGCACTGGCGATGCGGCGCGACCCTCCGACCCTGTCAAATTCTTGACGCTTCCAGCCCATCCAGAAACGATGCCCATGAGAGCTGACGGGGGGAGAGAGGAAGAGACACGCATAGTCACAGCGAGGGAGCTGGCCGGCCGAAGAGACGCGCATAGTCAAACAGCGAGGGACTGCTGATCCTCTTGGGGAGGCTCCGTGGACATCTCGAGCCGTCTTGAAGCGGTCTTGGGTCCTCTTGGACCATCTTTGGAGCCATCTTGAGCCAGCTTGGGCCATCTTGAGCCATCTTAGAGGTCATCTTGGGCTCTCTAAGGCTGCTTGGGGGCCTCTTGGGGGCCTCTCGGGGGCCTCTTGGAGCCCTCTTGGGGCCTCTTGGGGCGCTCGTGGGACCCTCTTGGGGGCCTCTTGGGAGCCCTGGAGGGCCATCTTGGAGGCGGTCGGTCAAAAGTGGGGGGGCACTTGATTTGCGTCCCCCCCTCCGGGGGCCACGATCCTTTTGAGGGGTATCAAAAATTGGCCCTCCCACTAGCCGAAAAATGAGCCTCCGACACCTCGGGACCCCTCCCCAAACACCCCAGGGAGGGGAGGGGGAGGGTTCCCCTCCCCGAAGGGAAGAGGGGATGTGAAAGAGGAAAACGATCACCATTTAGACCACCTGTCGCCGAAAGGGCTGTGGGATTGGGGCCCCATCTGGGAGGCCTCGCACAACATCTCATCGAAGTACTGAAGTCGTGGTTGTGTAAAGAAAATGATGCTCCCCGTGTAACGTATAATTTGCTGGTTTTAATGAAGTATATTCTCCGTTTCAGAAGTGTCGAACGCCAGTCGGTGACGGCGTCGCCGCTGTCGTTGTCCATTTGAGACACAAGTTCGCCTGCGCAATTGCAGCCATTGTCGGTGCTTGGGGCAACATGTGTTGCTGAGCATCGTAACCATTGTTCCGTACCCTTTTCGGGCGTCCAAAGGAGCCAAAGAGCATTCATTCTCGAGGTTCGAAGTTCGAGTTTTGTCGGGCGCCTTCCTCGGTTCCTGGGTTGTTTTTGTTTCCATCCTCGGGGTGTTTTCTAGCAGCTTCGCCTCGCCGAGAGCGTTCCGGGAGCGCCCGAATCGTCGAGAACGGCCGCCAGAGGCCCTAGCTATGACCCGAAACCGCCGATCTCCCCAGGCCTTCAACTTGATTACATTTGAAACGTACTGGCGGGGTTTCGCTGCCTTCGGCCTTTGCGGCATCCATTCGGGTCCCGTGGACCGCCAGAATACGATTCGGGTTGAAACGCCAGCCCTGGGGAACGTGGTCGGGACGTCGGGGATCCTTTAGAATTTTTAGGCATGGCAGCGTTTCCAAGCACCTCAATTGGGCGATGGGCGGTTGGAATGCTGAATATATGCATGGTGATGATATTGTGCCAGGGGCCGTGCTCTGCTGCTCAGCGCTGCACCGCGCCGCACAGTGACGTGCCATGGAACGTGCCAGTGGACGTGCCAGGGGACGTGCCAGGGGACGCGCCGCACGATGTGCCAGGGAGACGTGCCACGGAGCGTGCCAGGTGGACGCGCCACGGAACGTGTCCGCGGACGTGCCAGGGACATGCCAAGGGACGCGCCGCGCGACGTGCCCAGGGAACGCGCCACGATCCTTTGTACATAACGCTGCGTCCGCGCCCCCAGACCCGCGCTCCGTTTTATGAGTTACCTGGGAGTCACGCTCCCGGGGCCTCGGTCCTCTGCAATTTCCACTGCGTCGGCGCTCCCAGAGCCACGACCCCTCGTCAGTTACACGGCGCCCGCACTCCCTGGGCCACGCTCTTTTGTAAATAACGGTGCTCGCGCACGTCTGGGGCCACGTCGTTTTGGTAGAGTATGCTGAGTCTGAGTCCGTTTGTCCGCGCACTCGGGGCCACGATCCCTTGTACATTACGCTGCTTCCGCGCTCCCAGTGCCAGATTCCTCGGACATTACGCTGCGCACCAGGGCCAAGCCACACAGTAAAGTAGGCTGCGTCCGCGCTGCCTGGGCCAGGATCCATAGCGAATTCCTCTCTGCCCGCGCACCCAGGGGCCAGGATCCCTTGGAACTCGCGCCGCGTCCGCGCTCCCAGGGCCAGGAGCATTCGTACACTATGCTGCACCTGCGCCCACAGGGCCACGCCCCGCTGCAACTTACGCTTGTGCCCGCGCCGCCCGGGCCGCGATCCCTCGCATACTGCACGGCGTCATTGTTCCCCAGGGGCTACGATTCAGTCGGGCCTGTCCCCCTACAGGGGAATTTTCGACGACAAATACAACATACCCCAAACATAATCAAACATAGTCCAAACATAGTCCGGGGACTATTTATGGAGTATTTGTTGACCTTTTTGGGTTATGTTAGGAGTATTTTTTTTTCGTCGAAAATCCCCCTGTAGGGGGACACGCCCGACTTAAGGCTACGATCCCTTGCACATTGTATGGCGCCCGCGCCCCAGTGGGCCACGATCCCTTGCAAAGCACGCCGTGTCCGCGCTCCCAGGGCCGCGCTTCTTTTTGCGGGGATCACGCCCTGTCTGCCCCCTCCCCAGGGGCCAGGAAGGGAGTGCCCGTCCGTAGGAACATCTGTACAGCGCGAGGGATTCGAGCCCCAGGAGAGGAGCAATCTATGGGATTACACGTTTACACGTAAATCTCTTTGAGTTCGAGTCCAAGGAGAGGGGCATATTATATGACTACAAGTACAGAGCTAGGATTCGGGTCCCAGAAGAGAGGCATTCTATATGGATTTACAGTAACAGAATCCCAGCCCCAAGGGAGGGGCACTCTACAGGAACACGCGTGACACAGTCAGGGTTCTAGCCACTGGCGAGGGGCAATCTAGCGGAATACGCGTAAAGCGCGAAGGGTTCGAGCCCCAGGAGAAGAGCGATGTATTGGAATTCAAGTAAAACGCAAGGGATTGAGGGGCAACCTATGGAAGTACACGTAAGACATTACGACTTCGAACCCCAGTACACGGGCAATGTATGGGAATCCATTTGAATCACGACGGATGTTGTGTGAATTACGCGGCGCCCGCGCTCCCAGGGCCAGGATCCCTCGTGAATTACGCTTGTGCGCGTTCCCAGGGACAGGATCCTTTTGTAAATTACGCTCTGTCCGCCCCCCCCTGGGCCAGGATCCATATCACATCACGCGGCGTCAGCGCTCCCATGACCACGATCCATGGGAAAGCACGGTGCGACCGCACTCCATCTTGGGGCGCCCAGGCCCCTCAAGTGTTGCGAACCAAGAGTTTCGCTCGAGTCGTCCTCGAGAATTCTGCGCGCAGAGCGCACCGTCCTCGAGCGGGCACGCAACATTTACAACTTTGCATATTACGTGTAATGCTTTGACCTCCACGCATCATGATTACTAGGGATTTGCTACAACATCTTCTCGACACATCACGGGGGCCTGCGGGCCCCGTGCTTTATCGCGGAGACTGGGGGCGCAGTGTCCTCGAGTGGGCACGCGCGAAACGCATTTGTTCTACACAACATGTTGCTTTATATACTTGTTTGAAAAAAGCGGACATCCGCAGGCCGACCCCGCGCATTGCACCAGACATTGTCAACATAAAGAGAACCCCCGGCCCCAGCCCCTTCTTAGACAAAAGCAACACGTGGGATCTCAAGTTGTGATTGCACAGGCATGGATTCTGTCTGGCCCTGTAACACGTCGAACGACTTCTAGACTCGAGCCTTAGCGGGTGCGGAACGCGTAGCAAGTAGTCGCCAGCATGCGTACATGCTTATTGCAAATCCGGCGATGTGTTTGTGGGGATGTGGTGGGGGGGGCAGAGTCAACGTCTCGAACAAAACGAGTCGTTGTTCTTTCGCAGTTTCTGGCGCCTGGAGTCCGTTTTTTGCTGGGGTCGTTCAGAAACGATCTCGAACGAAGCATTGGTCCCCGCGACGTTTGTCGAGAGATTCGGGGACACCCCAGAGGAGGAGAAGGAGGAGGATTAGGAGGACGACGGGTGCGACGACGACGACAACGACGACGACGAGGGCGACGACGAGCGAGGGCGAGGACGACGAGGAGGACGAGGGCGACGTATAGAAAGAAGCAAGCAAACATTGGACCCCTGGGCCTCGAGGTCGGAGGTCTTGCTCGGTGCTCGCCCTTTTTGGGGCTCTGGGCCGCTTCCCCTCTCCCCCCTCCCTCCCCTTCCTCATCTCCCCCCCTCTTCCCCCCCCTGCTTCCCCCCCTCCTCCTCATCCTCTTCCTCTTTCCCCCTTCCCTTCCTACTCCTGTTGCCCCTCGGCTTCCCCCTCATCTCCCTCTCCTCCCCCTCTCCCTCTTCCCCTCCTCCTCTCCTCCTCTTCCCCTCCTCGTCCCCCCCTCCCCTTCTCTAGGCCTCCTGAGTGGGGTCGGGTGGGTCGGGGGATCGCGCCGCATCGCCGTTGCATCGGCGATGCGGCTCGATGTGGGGCCCGATTCTCCACGCCGGCGCCTCCGATACACTGGCGACGTCGCCAGTGCATCGACGATACATTGGCGATGCATTGGCGATGCATCGGCGATGCATCGCCAATGCAGCGCGATCCTCCGACCCCATCCACTCCGACCCCGTCTGGTAGGCCTCTATCTTCCCCCCCTCCCCTTCTTCTCCCCTCTTCTTGCTCTCCTTCACTTCCTCATCTCCTCATCCTGGTCCTCCTTCTGCTCCCCCTCCGCCTCCTCCCCCCCTTCCTCTCCTCCGCCTCTTCCCCTCCTCTGCCCCGCCTCTTCCTCTCCTCTGCCCCGCCTCTTCCCCTCCTCTGCCTCTCCTCTTCCTCTCCTCCTGCTCCCCTGCTCGCCGCCCCGTCCCTTTCGAGGAGAAGGAGGAGGAGGAGGAGGAGGAGGAGGAGGAGGAGGATGAGGAGGAAGAGGGTGAGGAAGTGGAGGAGGAGGAGGAGGAGGAGGAGAAGGAGGAAGACGAGGAGGAGGAGGAGGATGAGGAGGAGGAGCAGGAGCATGAGGAGGAGGAGGAGGTTCCCCCCCTCTCTCCGCTGCGGGGGGGGGGGACCGCGGGGCGTGCCCCCTAGGCACACGACGGTGCTGTCGCCGCAGCCGCGGCCCGCGCGGCTCCCGCGCCCTCCCGCGGGGGGGGGGGGGGGGGGAAGCGCGCGCCGCCGCGGCCGCTCCGCGCGGCCGGGCTTTGGGCCTGCAGCCAGGACGCTAAGATTAAGTCGGGCCCGTCCCTCTACAGGAGAAATAATAAAAAAGAATAGTCAAAAGATAGTCTGGGGATTATTTTTTGGAGTATGTTTTTCCATTTTGGAGTATTTTTGGAGTATGCTTTGTTTCTCGTGGAAAATCCCCCTGTAGGAGTACACGCCCGGCTTAACGCCAAGATCAAGTCGGGCAAGTCCCCCTATACAGGAGGACTACAGTCGGCCCAGATCAGTAGGTCGACCCTGCCAGATCAAGGGCACCCTCGTGTCCTGTGTCTCGCGGCCCATGCCTCCTGCATTCCTGTGACAACGTGGCCCTCGGAAGGGTTTTGTGTCCTCTCGCGTGTCCTGTCCAATCGAGTCCGACTGTAGCCAAGAACAGTTAACACATAGTCTGGGCACGATGTTTCGTGCTCTTCTGACGGCGTATGCCTGGTGATTGTTTGACCATTTGTCATCCGTCTTCGAGATCCCTGACGCTGAGACACTCCAGGCCTCCCAGATGGGGTCCGAGCAGACGGGACCGGAGGGCGGGAGGCTTCTGGCCGTCTGGGGCCTTTAGGGCCCCTCGCCGGGCCTTGGGACCGTCAACCCAAAAAACGATGCGGGATGCAGCACCGTTCCCGAGGAAGGGGTCGGGACTCCCTGGGGCCTCGTGCTGAACAAAGATTCAGGGCATCGCACGTCTGGGTCTAGGCTTCAGTCGGGCTTGTCCCTCTACAGGAGGAATTTTCGGAAATAGTCAAACCATAGTCTGGGGACGATGTTTTAGCTTTTTTCCAAATGTTTGCATATGTTTTCGAATAGTTTCTAGTTTTCATCCAAAACCCGAATGTAGGGGGTCCGAGCAGGCGGGGTCGGAGGCTCGCGCCGCGGCGGCGGTGGCGGCGCGCTGCGGGGCCAGGAAGTCCTCCACGCCCGGGGCGCCGATGTGTCGCCGGAGTCGCCAGCGCATCGCCGAGGCATCGCCAGTGCATCGGCAATGCATTGGCGATGCGGCGCAATCCTCCGACACCGTCCGTGAGGTGACGCCTCAAAGTACAGCGCCGGTTTTAACCCCAGTTTTAATACATGCTCCGCGTGCGGATCATGTATAAAAATGTAGGGATTTAGCAGTAAAAACAACGATGAGTTCATGCGTAAATTCATTCATACATTAACCATGTATCAAAACTCCGATATGTTTAAAACTCCTGTGTATTAAAAGCAGCACTGTAGGTAAGGAGCGCTTGGGGCTCCGGAGGGGCTCTGGTGCTCGGGCCGCCCCTTGGATCGGGGTCGGGAGGCTCGTTTTTTCGTGGCCGCCGCTCTCCGTGTCTCCCGGCGTCGCTCGGACGTGTGCAGTCTTTCTCGGCGAGAGCCATCGAGGACCATCCTGTCGGGGGAGCGTAAGACCCGGGTTTGCCGGGACTCGGGTTCGCCATCGTTTTTTGACGACCGCGACTCAGATTTTGACGAGGAGGAGTTTCGTGGGATGTCTGCAGCGGGAGGCCTCGTCAAAATGCAGGCTCGGCCTCGTCATTTTTTTGACGACCCCGTCGGGGATTTCCGAGTCCCCCGTACCCGGGTCTTACGTCTCCCCGATCCTGGACCATCGAGCAACCGAACCACGCACGAAGCCGAAACATGCACGGGAACTGGACGTCCGAGCGATGACCAGGTCTCCGCGGCCAGGAGGGCCCCTCCGTTCCCGAGCCAACGTTCCTCACGCCAGCACAATGCTTACAGGCAGCCCGCACAGTGAGGCTCGGCCACCTTCCCGAGGGTACCCTTGCATGCTGGTCTTGTCGTCGTCGTCGTCGCTCGTCGCTCGTCGCTCGTCGCGTCGCGCGCGCGGGCGCGGCTGCGGTGCCGGAGCCACACGGCGGGGGGGCCGTTTCGTCATACCCCTCCCCCCGCCCCCCCCCCCCCACACTCCCCATGACGCCCGTCATCGCCGAACAGAAAGAAACGCGCTCCACCCTCGGCCGCCTGCGTTGGCCGCGCCCCGCCGGAAAAGCTTCGGCCTGGGCGTCCGAGGGCCGTGCAGCCTTCTCGTCTGCCTGCCGGTACGGGTCGACTGCGAATACAGAGCTCCACCGCCTGGGAGACGCGGGGTTCTCGTGCGGGGCGCCGCCTGCCAAGGCTGGCGCGCGCGCCGGAGTTGTTTTGCATATTTTTTACATGCAGGGCAGTTTTTAATACATAGGTTTTTTTCAAATATAGGATGTTCAATCCATGACTAGGTTATGAATAAGTTTATGCATGAACTCATCGTTGTTTTTGATACTAAATCCCTGCATTTTTAATACATGATCCGCACGCGGAGCATGTATTAAAAGCGGCATTGTAGCTTCATCCACCCCGGCCGCCGGTTCGTCTTCGTCGTCGTCGTCGGAGTTGCGGTCCGATGGTTCAACGATGGGGTCCTGAGGGATGGGGTCCTGAGGATAGGAAGGGATCCAAGGGTGAATTTACATGATTCAAGGCACCTCGTCCTCAGGACCCCATCCTTCAACTAGGAGTCACCGAGCTGTTTCGTGGTCGCCGCCGCCGCCACCGCCGTCAGCGCACGTCGCCGGCCAGCACTGCGGCGCGCGGCGCCAGCGCCGCGTCACTGCTGGGCGACGACCAGCGTCGCGCCGGCGCCGCTGACGCCGTCGAAGCGCCTGCGCCTCGGGGGCAACGATGGGGGGAATAGGCATAGGGGGGGATGCATCGACCCCCAATCGCCCACTGATCGCCGATAGGGGCCCGATAGCACCACCCCGCCCAGGCAGGTGCGGATTCACTATCGGGGGCCTATCGCCGATCTATCGACGATGTATCGCCGATTCCAGGTCGATGAACACCCCCCTATGCCTATCCTCCCTAGCGCCTTTGACGCCGTCAGCGTGCCTCGTCTTTGAGACAGCCAGGACACCGCGTAAGGGGAGCCGGTTAGTGATCTGGCTCCGAAGCCCAGCAATGAACCAGACAGGCACGCACAAAGCCGCGCGCACCCGAGAGGACGCATATAGGCAGGGCCAGAACGTGTGGTGCCCATGAGCGCGCTCGCGAGAGAGCGTGCTTGCCATGGCCGAGGAGAGGGAGGAGGGGAGGGGAGGCGTGGGAGGGGAGGGGAGGGGGGAGGGCAAACATGCAATGTAATGTGCGTTACACGTGTTCTGTGTTCTGTACGCCGTAGCTGGTGTCTCTTGGGGTGACGGTAGTTCCAGTCATGGTGGAATGGGGCGGGGGAGCATTTTTCGGTACACATCACCAAACCAGGTCTCACTAAACCCAGTCCCGCCCCCGGATATGCGATGCCCTGATTGTTTCAGTACGGGCCCCCCGAAGTCCCGACCCTTCCCCAGGTAAGGTTGTCATCCCAGGTCGGTTTTTGCTGGTCCCGGATCCCGGCAAGCTCCATAGTAAGCCAAAATTTGGATGGGGTCAGGACGAGGATAAATTCGTTCCAGAGCGTTCCTGAACGCTCTCAGAGTTCTCGGGAACGCTCTGAGAAGGCCGCGGCGCCCGAGACATCCTCCTCCAAAGCCGCCAGATCTCAGAGATTCTCGATTTATCCTCACCAGATTTGATCCTCGTCGTGGCTTCGTCTCAAAAACGGCCAACAACCTCCCGTCCTGATTTTTGCTGGCACGAGCATGTGTGGGTCAACGCCGTCGGAGCGCCAGCGCCGTCGACGCCGTCCGCACTCGGGGCTCGAGAGACGGGAGTCACTGCAAACGGGGGTCAGCCAGAGCGCCGGCTCTGGCAGGATATCCTGCAGAGTCTGGGGCGCGCATGGACCCTGCCCAGCGCCAGCAGGATCCTGACTGGCTCAGGCTTTTGCACTGACCCGGGCCCCCCGAGATCTGACGCCGCCACAAAAATCGCAGCATCGCAGCAGATCACGACCCGGAGCCCCGGACCACATCTTCCTGCGTGCGCTCTCTCGAGCAGGATCGAGCCGTGAGGCTCCCTTTGGGCCCGGCAGGGAGCGCGAGCGCCCGTGGTGAAAGTCGGGGGCCCCCAAACGGGGTGGTGACCACATCGTGCGGTGAGGCAGTGGGGATTCGGGGTGAAACCTCACGGTTTTAGGACTCGAGTCGTTCTCCGAGGACGTCTCGGGCGACTGGGGCCTTCAGGGTCCCAAGACCGTGCGGTTGACGGACCGTGCGGTGAGGTCCTGGGGGATGTCGAGGTCACCGCACGGTCTGTCACCGCTCCGCTTCGGGACTCCACAGGAACAAAATGCAAGCCAGGATCTCAGGGTGCCCCCTCTTCCCTCATTCCCAGACCTCTGACGTCATGATTCAGGAGGGAAAAAACAGACAGACACAATTCATCGTCGATTCCCCCGAAAACATAGGAAAATGTAGGAAGTGGGGGGGAAGGCAGAAGCCCAGAAAATATGGGAGAATATGGGGAATCTCTGTATTTGTGTGCATTTGTTTGTGTGTCCTGGGGCCCCTTCAGTCATGATTTTCCCACGGCGCGACCCCCCGAGGTCCAGGCCCTTTCCCCGGGACCCGCGTGTCATCCCGAGTCGTCTCCCGACGGTCCCGAGGCTGGGCGTGAGGCCCCCCGAGGCCGAAGACAGCGAAACACCTGCCGCCCTGATTTTTTGAGGGGAACACAAAAGTGGCATAAACATAAATCCTGGGAGGTCCGCGCGGATTTCTCTGATCGGCGCTGGACCCCTCTCCCTGGCGCGCGGAGCGCGCCAGGGGCGGCGCCAGAGGCGCCGCCAGGGGGGTCCAGCGCGGATCCGAGAAATCCGCGCGGACCTCCGAGGTTTTTTGTTTATGCCACTTTTGTCCCCCTATCTTCCCAACCATCCTGTGGTGTTGGGGGTCCTTGTGTCGAGGGGACGGTCCCCGCGTTCCTCCCTTCCTCTCTTCCTTCCTTCCCTCCTTCCTTCCTCCCTTCCCCCCCCTCCCCCTCCCCCTCCCCCTCCCGAGGCCCCCCCGAGGCCGAGGGCACGGAAGAGCCCCCCGCCGCGATTCTCTGCTCGCCTCGCGGGGGGCCCGGGGCGGCTCCGGGCCAGCCGGGCCCCCGAGGCGGGCCGCGGGCCGCCCCTTTCGGGGCGCGCCCGTGGTGGGCGCCGCGGCCCTCGTGGCAGGTCGGGCACGTCCCTCTCCACCTGTGGAAGGCGATCGAGGGTCGGGGGCGGTCAAGAGGGGGGCGATGACTACCCTGACCTTCCAGGAGGGCTAAAAAAGCAGCACCAGGACCTCGATATCTCACCTCCTGTCGAGGTTTTAGGCAGCACAGATGGGTCTTCAGGTCTGGAGGGCTGTTTTTTAGCACTCTGGAAGGTCGGGGAAGGGGGGGGGGATATCATGGCGTGGGCCTTTCCCCAGATTTCATGGCGCCTCTTCTTATTTTCCTGGCGTCCCTGGCCCCCTGGCCTGGGCCGCGCACGGGCCGCCGGCCCTGATTTGCCCCCCCCCCCCCCCCTCTTTGATACCCCCTTCTTGGCCGCCTCCGAAATGGAGAGGAAGCGTGCTGCCAAATCATTTCCAGATGTATGAAACATGGTTCGAACATGTCCTCCGCATGTGCAACACATGGTGTGAACCTTTTGGAACATGTTTCAAGCAGTTTGAAGACATTTCCATCCAATGCTAGGACTGCTGGGGTGTCCATTGTCGTGGCATCCACACCCCATAGAGGAGGAGTCTTCAAACATGGCCAGAAAAATCGTCCGGGGGCGAGGATTCGACGATCTACCTTTCTGGAAAAGTACCTCGGAGGTTCGTTGTGCACCGTCTTTACTGTTCTCCCAACATCCGCCTCTAGGAGGACATGCCCGACCTACCCCTCGTAGGGGGCCGCGGCCGCGGCCGCCGAGGCTCCCGGACGCGCCGCGGGAGGAGCACGCGCGGTCGCAGAGCCCCCTGCGCAGCTCGCTGCAGGCGGGCGGCCCCCCCTCTCCTCGAGCAGCCCGCCGCCCACCCGACCACCCAGAGGCGGAAACGTCGGGCCGAGCGAAAGGGGGGGGGGATGGGGAACGGGTCGGGGGTGCGCAGACCTCCTAGCCTGACACGTCGATTTAAGGAATCGGCCGTTCTCGGTTCGCGAGAGGGCGTCGCGGCCGTCATTTTTGCGGGTCCAGGTGGGGTTGCGAAATCTGCTGCGTGCAGCTGGTGTCGGCCCCGCCGCCGGGCCCATTCCTCGATGCATACGCGCATCCTGGCGCCGGGAGGCGCTGGGGAAATCAGCTACGTGAGCTGATTCTCTACCCTACCCTTTGCTATCCCCCCCTCTCGTTCCCCCCGAAAAAAGTGCCCATACAGCTGATTTCCCCCGGGAGGGGTCCTGGGAGTAGCGGTATGGGTGCTTTTTGGTCTCTCTGACCACCCCAGCCCGACCCGAAGGCCTCGATTTGCTTTCCATTTCCAGTGTTAAGTCGGGCATGTCCCTCTACAGGAGGAAAGTTCAAAAGTAATCAACCAAAAGTATATCCGTCGTCAAGAATCCGCCTGTAGGAGGACACGCCCAACCTAACTCGAGCATCACCGCCTACCAAACCACCGCAACCCAATCCGAAGGCCCCGACTTGCCCTCCATTTCCAGTAGGGGGGGGGGGTCGGGGAACATCGAAGAAACACATATGAAGCCCGTGCCACCCCCAACCCGAAATTCGGGTCTTCGGGTTGGGTTGGGCTGGTCTGTTCGGTAGTCAGAGTAGGGGATCGACTACATGATCGATCTCCTACGAAATCTATGTAGAAGGTTTAGTACATTCTCTCTCGAGCAGGGGATTGACTACAGGATCGATGTGTCCCAGAATTGGCTTCCTCGCCGAATCTACGAACGCTACGTAGAAGGTTCAGTAGATCCTCTCTCGAGCAGGGGATCGACTACATAATTGATTTGCCCCAAAATAGGCCCTCAGTTCGCATCCGCAGAATATACGTATCATGTTCAGTAGATCTAGTGAACATTATGTTTTTTGTTTGGTAAATTTGACAGAGTTCTGGGGGTACATCAATTCTGTAGTCGATTACCTACTCGACTCTCGAACAGGAAACATCGCCGTGGGATGAACACGGCTGTCAGGATGAAGAAGTCGTCCTGTAAGCGGGCCGCCCTTCTCGGCACAGGCGCAGACCCTGACATCCTTGCGTGGCAATTGTTTCACACCTTGCGTTTTCGCGCAGAGGCACTTGGTATGATTATGTTCGGGTCCTTTTCGGGGACTCTCTGGGGCCCTCTTGGCGCCCATTTGAGCTCTCCGAAGCGGGGCTGGTGGGTCTGACGAGAAGACGACGCCGACGAGAGCGTCCCTGGAGCCTCCTCCGAACCGTCCTAGAAGCGCCACGGGATTCCGAATCCTTTCCAGTGCCCTCCATGACGTCTCACGAGGGCCCCCAGACGGCCCAGCATGGCGCCAATACGGCTCAAGAAGCCCCCAGAACTGCCCAAGAGGGCCCAAATACAACTCCCCAGAGGGCCTCCAGAGCAGCCAAGCCCAACCAATAAATTTTGTCAAGTTGTTTGAGGGTTTCAGAGTCCTCGCGTTTTTGGACGGTCGGCCCCCAAGACTGCCGAGATGCCTCTCAGAGAGCTCCAACAGGTGCCCAAGAAAGGGAACTCGAACTGGCCTCGGGACCCGCTCACCCCAAGATGGCCCCAAGGCCCCCCAACTCCCAAGAGGCGTCCAAGAGGCTTCCAAGAGGCCCCAAGAGGCCCCCAAGAGGCTCCCAAGAGGAAGCCTCCAAGAGGCCCCCCCCCCAAAGGCACGCGCACTTACCCGAATCTTCTTTCGCGCCTTTCGCAACGAACGCGTTGGCTTCAAAACGCACGCTCCCATTTTTTCCGGGGGCGTTCCTTGTTCCGCGCTATGCGCTAGGCTCCGAGGCAGGTAGAACCTGAGCGCGTGCGAAGCGCGCGCGATGGTTGTAGTGTATATATAATGTGTATATATCTATATCATGGCTGGGAGAGAGAGGGAGAGAGAGAGAGAGAGAGAGAGAGAAAGAGAGAGAGAAAGAGAGAGAGAGAGAGAGACACACAGACAGAGACAGAGACAGAGGCATTCGAGCCTCCTGCTCTCCTCGCAACGCGGGGGGCCCTGTTGCGTCGTGGCTGTTTGGGCTCCATGCCTGAGCTCTGGGCAAAAGTTTGCGCGGTTAGGTCGGCGTTGCTGATTTTTTTGTACTTGCACAATTTGAACCAGAACCTTGGGGAACAAGCTGACCATGTCTGACTTCTGTCTCGTCTTGCCCCACATGCGCGCGTGGCCTTTCGCGCGCGAAACTTCCGTGCCGCTTGGTTTGTTTATCGCGCGCTTCCCGGGCTTCAGGAAGAAGCAATTGGAGATGCACGTCTCGTTCGTGGATCGCGCTGGAATCCTCCCACATAGCTCGGAGGGTGCCGCGGGCAACGACGCTGGCGGCGCGGCTGCGCCGACGAATTGGCCTGGGCCATGATCTGTGGTGCAACGCGAGCTGCAAAAATGTGACAAACGTTTTTCTGTCGGAGGACTGGTGCACGTCGTCCTTGACGGAAGCGCGCGCTCTGCGAAAGTTATTGAATGCCGCGGGGTGACCATGGACCTCCTCGTGCTGGCGGACGACGTTGTCGTCGCAGACGTCTCTTTGGCTGCCATTCGACACCGGCACGAACATATGGCCGCGAACGCCTTACCTGAGTCGCAGGGCAAAGACGTTCGGGTTGGAGGGACAGTCGGTGACGGAGACACCCTCGACGCTCGTTGGCGCGAGCGCGGGGCGTATGTTCCAGCGAGAATCAGTCGGTACTGCTGCGGATGCAACAAATCCTTCGTGATGGTGAACTTTGGAGACGTTGGCCAAAATTACACAGTCCCAGTGGCAGATGTCCGAGCACGCGGCATGCCCTTCGTGAGTGGCAGTTTTGGCGAGGGCCCAGGAACGCCGCAACAGGGACCGCCGGCTCGTTCCGCGCCAGGACGAACAGCTCGACGCGGTGGAGGACCCGGGTTCATCCCGGTTCCTGGGCGTGGTAGCCAGCTTGAACGAGGATATGGGATTCGGCACGATCGCGTGCCGTCTCGGATCCATCTTCTGCCCGCGAAGCGCAGCTCGCGCTGGCGGCGCCTTGAGGGTCCGGCGGGGGGCGAAATTTGAAATCTCCCAGGAATGCCGCCTTCGCCCGCAGGCCAACGACGTAGCGTTGGGCCCCCTGAAAAAAAAGGAGCACGTGCAGCAGTGGGCTCAGCGCGCCAGGGGCGCGGGCGCAAGGTTGCGCGCGAGGGCGGTTTCCCCGAAAACAAGAATATTGATAAACAGAGCGCTGCTGCGCATGATCGCATGAAGACGACCCGCGCGGCCAGTCGCGCGTAGAGACAACGCTTGGATTTTCCTTGGTCGAGGAGACTCGCATATTTGACCCGGCTTCGCCTGCCTTTCTCCTCGCCGCGCTCGGCGCAGCCTCCCCGGCCCCTACAGATCGGGCCTCTCCTGAGGCGCGAATCCTCCCCGGGAGGCCCCAGGAAGGCCCAGGAGGCCCCGGGGGTGCCCGGAAGGTCCCGGCAGACTTCAGGAAGTCACAGGAAGCCCCAAGAGGTGCTAGGAGGCGCCAAGAGGCCCGAGGAAACCCCAGGAAACGCCGGGAAGGACCCAGGAGGTGTCATGAGGCTCAGTCCCCAGGAAGCGCCAGGAAGGCCCAAGGAAGCCCCGGGAGGCCTCGGGAAGCCCCAAGAGGCTCAAGGTGGAGCAGTCCCCAAAAGGCCCTATGAGGCACCAGGAATCCCCAAGAGGCTCCAGGAGGCCCCAGGAAGCCGCAGGAGGCCCTAGTAGGCCCAAGCCCGGGGAAACCCCAAGAGGCCCCAGGAGCCCCGAGAAACTTGAGGAAACCCCACGAAACTCCAAAAGACCCCTGGAGGACTCAGTCATGCTCAGTCATGCTCAGGCCACTGGCGCGCGTATGCTCTCACCCTTCTCACCCTAAGCTTAGCCGTGCGCAGGCTCGCGCGCATAGACTCAGTCGTACTACTTGGGCCCATGCACGCTCAAAGCCGTTCACAGTTAGTCTCTCTGCCAGGTTTTCAATATCGAAGCTCGTTATGTTCGAAGTTTTTTGCGCCTAGACATTCACGCCGGAACTGCCAGTGCAAAGAGATGCGCATATGGGGAGCTCCACGCAGTGAATCATTTTTCGTTGTCCTCCTCGTTCCCTCCAACAACCTCCTCAACAGGAATCCTGTTCGACATTCTTGCGAAGAGAATCCGAGTCAAATCGGCTACAAAAGGGATCCTTTTGAATTCGGCTACAAAAGAACACCTTAAATCGGCAACAAAAGCGATCCTATTGACATCAGCTACGTAAGGCATCTTATTGAAACCGGCTACACAAGGAAACCCATCGAAATCGGCCGCAAAAGGAATCCTATTGACACTTTACTACAACAGGGATCTGCTTGAAATCTGCCACAAAATGAAACCCGGTGAAAGCGTCTGCAATGGGGATCCTCGTAAGTATCCCTGTTGTACGGAACCTGTAGTGGTGGGGCTGCAGTAGTATGGGTGTGCTGCACATGGCAAAGACAACACGGCAAAGACAACACGAAACAATTTACATAACAATTTGAATAACGCGAAAGAAACTTTTAAGCTGAGTGATGACGCACACGCGGTTTTGTCAACTTTACGGGGGGGGGAGGGGGGGGCGGAAAGGGGGGAGGAGGGGGGGGGGGGGAGGGGAGGGGAGGGAGGCAAGCTAGGTGCGCTCGCGTCATATCTGACATCCTACCCTTCCCTCCCATCCCTTACCATGGCGCAGATCCCCTCTCTACTCGCACAGTCGGATGTCGAGCAGGGCAATGATCCCGAAAGGGTACGCGATGCATTGTAGAGCACGGCATGGCATGGCGTAGAAGAGCACCGCAAAGCGTAGTATCAACCTAGCATTGCATTGCACGCCGTGGCATGGCACAGAATGACGCCAGCGCTGCAGCGGGAGCACGAATCGAAACGAGCGGAAGCGCGGAAATGAGGCCAGCGCTGCAGCGGGAACACGATTCGGAACGAGCAACAGCGCGGAAATGAGGCCAGCGCTGCAGCGGGAGCGCGATTCGGAACGAACGGGGCCCGAAAATGAGGCCGGCGCCTCAGCGAGAGCAGCATTTTGAAAACAAATGCAAGCGAAAACCCAACTCCAGGGAAACCTGTGTGTAAAAAACAGGACGCGGGGGGGGGCGGCGAACACTCCCAGCACGTCATCAGGGAAAGAGGGAGAGTAGTATGCAGATTGAGTAATTGTGGAGGGGCGGGGAGGAAGGAGGAGGGACGGAAGGAATGGATGGAGGGAGGGGGGGAGGGAGGGAAGGAGGAGGAGCAGGAGGAGGAAAACTAAGAAGAATAAGCATAATAAGCATGCTCATACTAGTAATAACCAAAACAATAGTAACAATAGTAAGGAGACGAAGAGGGATACACATACTAAGGAGAATGGTACGAGTGATAAGAATGGTAATTTGAACAACACTACTATTAATATTATTCTTACTACGAAAAACAGTGCGAAGGCTGATGATACTAAGAATACTAATCGCACTACTAATGATATACAAGTGAGAATGCTAGTTAAAATAATGATACGAATGCGAACCAGAAGAGGAAAGCAAAGGAGGAGGAGGAGGAGGAAGAGGAGGAGGAGGGGGAGGGGGAGGGAGGAGGAGAGAGGAGGAGGAGGAGAGGAGGAGGAGGAGAGCCGGCCACCCGAGGCCAAGCCCAAGGACAGGACCCGGAGCGTGGTCCTCGCACCCCGGGGGAGGCGGCGCCCCCCGGGGGGGGGGGGGGGGGCGGGTCAGAGGCGCGGGCCTCGCCCCAGGGCGATGGGACGGGGATGGGGAGGAAGGAGAAGAGGAGGAAGGAGGAAGGAGGAGAGGGACCCAGGAATGGGGATGAAGGAGGAAGGAGGAGGAAGGCGATGGGACGGGGATGGGGATGAAGGAGAAGAGGAGGAAGGAGGAAGGATGAAGGAGGAAGGAGGAAGGAGGAAGGAGGAGAGGGACCCCTGAGATCCCGGCAATGCATTTTGTTCACAACGGGCGTGTTGCCTCAGTGTCGGGCCCCGGGAGCCGCACAGATCGTTGCGGCTCGGAAAATGAGAGAAAGGTGGGTTCCGGGGCTCCTGTCGTGTTTTTTGCCTTGTTACAATTTTGTCTTGCAGCGGCGGATCTCTGGGGATGGGGAGAGGATGGGGGGGAAGGAGGAAGGAAAAAGGAGGGGGGAACATCTCCCGGGCCAGGAGAGACCCCTCCAGCGTCGTCACGTTCGTTTCATGTCGCGGGCACCTGGATGCCTTTTGACGCCTGGGCCCCGGCGCAGGCGACCGTGCGTCGTTTTTTCATAGCGCGATGTGTCTCGGAAGAGGGGGGGTCCGACGACGGCGACGTGCTCCTCGCGCCGAAGCTGACCTAATCTTGTGTTTTCGGGCGACCTGACCGTCTGTCCTGTTGCGCCCCTATCCGCGTCGAGTTCGTGTCGAAGCCATGCCGGACTCGCCGAATCCGCGTCGCACCCACGCCAACTCCGCGCCGAGTCCGCATCGAGCCCGTGTCGGGCACAAGAGAAGATGCAAGTTGTAAGGTCCAACCACAAGAGAAGATGCAAGTTCTAAGTCGGGCCTGTCCCTCTAGAGTAGGAGTATCCAGACATAGTTGTTTTTTGTTTAAAAAAAGAGCCTGGGAACGTTTTTCTTCGATTATTTGTTAGAGTTTTTTTTTAAAGAGTATGTTTGGGGAGTGGTTCTGATTCTTCGCCCAAGCTCCGCCTGTTGGCGGACACGCCCGACCCCAGTGCAGCTGTGAAGGCCCGACGACGCGCCCCCTGCAGCCCCCGCGCCCTCTCTGCGGCCCCCTTGGAGGCCGCGGGTGCCTCCCCCTGGCAGTCCTGCAGGGGGGGCCCCCCCCGGGGGCCCGGGAACGCCGCCGACGGCACCCCGACGACGTACGGCGACGGCGACGACGACGACGACAACGATCACGACGACCACGACGACGACGACGACGACGACGACGACGACGACGACGACGACGACGACGACGACGACGACGTACGACGACGAGGTACGACGACGTACGACGGCGGCGGCGACGACGACGACGCTCACCACGGCGACGACGCCGACGACGACGCTCACGACGACGACGACGACCACGACGGCGCGGGGCCCCTCCGCGGCCGGGCCGCCCTGCCCGCCCCGCGCGGGAGCAGCCCGCGTGGCTCGGCGGGCTCGCCTCCACGGATCGCCGAGCGCGCGGCCCGGGCTCTCTTAACGGGCGAAGAACGGTATGAAATAAACTTTTTCGCCGTCGGGGACACCTGCCCCAGGACGGCTGGAAAGTTTACACCCCGGCGAAACAGTTTATTTTATACCGTTCTTCGCTCGCTGACTCTCCCCGGCCAAGGAAAGCGTTGTTTTGTTTGTTGTGTTCGGAGGCCCCTGCCAAGAGACGCCCCTCTCTCTCCCATGGGGTGGACGTGTGCCTCCTTTTCTCCCGAGCTCCATGGGGCGTACTAGTTCCCCTGTTCTTCCGGGAGCTAATTACGCGGTCGTGCCCGATCGGAGCTGGCAAACGTCTCTTAGGTCGGAGCTGGCGGGTGACGCACCCCCCACTAGTCTTAGGTCGGGCATGTCCTCCTGCAGGCGGATTTTGGAAAAACAATGGAAAAGAGGCAAAACATACACCAAACGTGGTCCAAAGATCGTTCCCATATTATTTTTGGACTATTCTTGAGCACTCCTGCAGAGGGACGTGCCCGATCTAGCCCGAGAAACTGGACGCACAGCCCCATACCTAGAGGCCCCCTAGATGGAGTCCGAGCAAGTGGGATCGGAGGATCGCGCCGCATGGCCGATGCATCGACGATGCGGCTCGATGCGGAGTTCGATCTTCTCCACGCCGACGGCGCGACGATGCATCGCCGACGTCGCCGATGCATCGACCATGCATCGACGTTGCATCGGCGATGCGGCGCGATCTTCCGACTCCATCCACTCGGACGCCATCCAGGAGGCCTCCAGTAGCGGGCGTTACCGGTACCAGGGGGAGCTGAGGGGAGCGGGGGGCCGTCGACATCACGTTTCGTGCTGGCGCCGTCCGGGAATGGCTAGGGATAACTAACCAGGAAGCCAACTCGGAGGTCAGCACGAATCGTGACGGTCGCGGGGACCCACGAACCAGGAATGAATCTAGGAATGCATGGTAAAGCTTTGCATGGCAAACCTGATTAAGCGACGGGCAATTGCAATGCTGAGTGTATCGATCTTGATATACCGTGCCCAGGGCTGTGCTGTGCTGCGCGGTGCTGACTTGCGATGTGTCATGCCGCTTGTACTCCATAGCGTTCTGGATCGAGTCTTCCTTTGCATCCGAGTCTAGACCAAACTGATCTGGATCTTGTGCTCTAGCTGCCTGAGCACATAGTAGCTGCCCCAGAGCGAGTTGAAGTTGCAACGTGCGGGACGGTCAATCGACTCGACCTCCGAATCCGACTCAACTCTAAACAGGAACGACACGACACGGGGCACAGGCTCACGGTCGCGCCACAGAATGTTCCAGGGGCGCAATAGGGGATGCGGGCGTGTCAGGGGATGTATCAGGGGACGTGCCTTGGACGTGTTAGAGACTTGCCACGGGACGTGCCAAGGCGCGTGCCATGGGGCGGCCAAAGGACGTCATGCCATGGGACGTTGCAAGAGGCGCGCCACAGAACGGGCAGGGGAAACGCCTGGGGACGAACCAGGAAACGCGACAGTGGACGAGCCAGGGAACATGCCACGCCGAGTGGCGTGCTGGGGGACGTGCCAGGGCACGTCACGCCAGAACGTCGCAAGGGCCTCGCCAGGGGACGCGCCAGCGCGCCAGGGGACGCCCCACGGACGGGCAAGCGTTTCGCTCGAGGTTTCCCCAACTAATCCTCATGTTAGACGTCCGCATGTTTATCTGGACACGTGAAAGCAAGCGTCTCGCTCGAGACATCTGCAACACATCCTCATGCTAGACATGCGCCTGGGCGACCTGGACACGTGAAACCAAGCGTCTCCCTTGACACGTTCCCACAACCTCCTCATGCTAGACATCCGCCTGGGCGATTTGGACGCGTGAAAACAAGCGTCTCGCCAGAGACATCGTGCCCAAATCCTCATGTTACAGATCCTCCTGGGCGACCTGAACACGTGAAATCAAGCGGTTCGTTCGACACATCCTCAACAGGTCCTCATGCTGGACATTCGCATGGGCGACCTGCACACGTGACACTAAGCGGCTCGTTCGGAGTATCCTCAGCACATGTTCATGCTAGACATCCGTTTGGGCGACCTGGGCACGTGAAACCAAGCGGTTCGCTGGAGACTATCTCGGTGCCTCCTCGTGCCAGACATCCTCCTGGGCGGCCTGGACGCGTGCAGACTAGCGTGTCACTCGAGACATCTTGCGCAAATCCTCATGTCACACATCCTCCTGGGCGACCTGGACACGTGAAAACAAGCGTCTCGCCAGAGACATCCTCAACGCATCCTCATGCTAGACCTCCGCCTGTGCGACCTGGACGCGTGAAAACAAGCGTCTCGCCCGAGACATCCTCAACACACTCTCATGCTAGACATCTGCCTGTGCGACCGACGCGTGAAAACAAGCGTCTCGCCAGGGACAGCCTCGACAAATCCTCATGCTAGACAATCTGCCTGGGCAACCTGGACGCGTGAAACCAAGCGTCTCGCTCGAGACATCTTCAATACCTGGGCACATGAAGCACGAGGATTTCACATGAGACATCCTCTGAATTCTGGTCCCCAGGGGAGGAGCAATCTATAACACAAAACAAGCGCTTCGCTCGAGACATCCGCGACAGACGAACATGTTTACTTTGCCATGTGCTTTATCGATCGCAATTTCACAAAACCAGCGTTTCGCACTGTACACCCTCAAATATGATGCCGCCAGCTCTTCTTGACCTCCATACTTATCGGTGGGTAATTCCGCGGGCCCTTCCCCATCATGGCACCGGGGACAAGATTACCAGCTCAAAGAGAACCCTAGACCGGCGCCCTTTCCAGGAGTACAACAATGCTCTCACGGAGCGTACGGGGCCTCTTGCCGATCCATCGGTGATGTATCGTTGATTCCAGATCGATGGCTCCCCCTCCTGGACTGGTCCCCACTAACGTTGCCCTCGAGCTTCGCGGGGCCCACAGCGCATGGCGCGGCCCTTCCTCTGAATGCAACTCCTCTCAGAGGTTGGTTGGAATCGGCGGCATCGGCACCGGCATTTCTCAGCGGGCGAAGAACGGTATAAAATAGACTTTTCCGCCGTCGGGGACGTTTGCCCCTGGGCGGCTGGGAAGTTTGTACCCCTACGGAGCCACCGTAAGGCATGAATTTTCTGGCCGCCCTGGGACAGGCGCCCCGGATGGCGAAAAAGTTTATTTTCTACTGTTGCGATTCGCCCACTCGATTTCCGTGGCCGAAGACTGGCCGAGTCTGGCTCGGTCCCGCCGAGTTCCGCTCCATTTGGCCAGTCCTTTTGGCCTCCTCCGCGCGAGCCTCCGGTGCCAGGTTTAAGTCGGGAGTGTCCCTCTACTGGAGGAATATTCAAACATAGTTTTTTATATTAAAAAACAATACGGGGCCTAATTTTCGATTAATTTTGGAGTGTTTTGGAGTATTTTTGAAGTATTTCTTCCTTTTCGCCCAAAATCCACCTGTAGGGGGACATGCCCCACCTGAAGCTAGGCATGGCCCCCTTCTACTAGTTAATCGGGCCTCGCAGCCCGCACAGTCAAGACGCTGACACAAGGACCACTTCGGGCTCGGGAGGGGCTGTCTTTTCAGGGCTCGCTTCGATTCCTCCGATTCCATCCGATTCGATTTCGACGGCTTCCGATTCCGACTTGACGCGACTTCGGATTCCGATTTGGGATCCGATTCCTCAGTGGAGGCCCACTAGCCTGCCGATGTCTGCCGATTCGCCTTTTCCCAGCTCGGCTGCCGATTTCCGCCGATCCGGTTCATTTCAAGTTCCGATCCGACTTATCGATTTAATTTTTGGGGCGCCTGTTTGTTTGGCCGTTCCTTAAAAATCTAGCTCGGGGGATCTACAGTGGAAACCCATGCCGAGAAGCATCCTGCTTGCCTCCAGGGTGCCCTTGGGTTTCTTGGGTTTAGGAGGTCTTCCTGTGGAAAGCGTGACGTTCCCGCAACGTCCTGGGGTCTCATGGTTGAGTTTCTTGTGGGAGATCTCTTGTGGACTGATTCGCCTTAAGTCGGGCGTGTCCCTCTACAGGAGGAATTCAAGAACAGTCAAAAAATGGTCTAGGGACGATTTTCTGAGCATGTTTGTGTGGCACTTCTTGAGTCGTTTTTGGGCTTCCTTGTGGAAGGTTTTTTTTTTGTGAACTGGCCTCCGCTGTGCTCGTGACCGAGGCTCGCCGTGGCCAGGCGCGCCCCCGTGGCCGCCCCCTCGGCACGGCGACTGTCCGGCGGGGATTCTTTTTTTGTTTGCTTGGATCGAGCGCGCTGCTCCGCCGGTGGCCGGCCCACCATTCGGGCCGAACGAAAGGGGGGGATGCAGCCAAAAACCCTAATGAGGACGCGCGACTTTGCTCAGGGTGCCCTTGCGTCCCTGCTCTTCCTTGCTCTTGCGTCCTTGGGGTTTTCGTCGTCCGCCGACCCAAACATCCCAACTTCGGCTTCCAAGGGTCTTGCGTCCTTACCGCGCGTCCTTATTAGGGTTTTTGACTGTACAGTCAATACGCTGAAATAAGGAACAGTTTGGATTCGGAAGGGGCTCGATGTTCCTTACGTCCTTCCGTGGTTGTGCCTCCAGCCCTTCTCGTGCATCCAGGCTTTTCTGAAGCCACAGCGGGGCTCCGTTCCTTATTTAGAGTTCCTTCTTTCAGCAGCCCGACTGTACGAAATCTGCTCAATGCAGCTGGTTTCGGCCCCGTCGCAGGGCCCATTCCTCGATACCTGGGCGCCTCCCGGCGCCGGGAGGCGCTGGGAAAATCAGCCACGTTACGTGAGCTGATTCTCTACCCTGCCCTGTGTCATTCCCCCCCTTTCGTTCCCCCCGAACCATGCTTTGGCGCGACAAGCTATCCAATTCTGGGTCCCTACAGTGGAAGCCCATGCCAAGGAACACCCTGCTTGCCTCCAGGGTGCCCTGGGTTTCTTGGGTTCCGATGGTTCTATGATGGAAAGCGTGACGTCCCCATACCCAAAATCAACGGACATCCTGCGGTCTCAGAGTTGGGTTTCTTGTGGAAGGTTTCTTGTGGTCGAGCTCCTACTGTAAGCGTCAGCGTCCCGAGCTTTTCCCAGCTTCCCGCTCCGCGGAGCGATGCGGCATGCCATTCGCTCGCAGGGCATAGCGTGTCGCCAGGGCCGCCGTGGCGACACGCTATCCAGAAAGCCCTTTGCTCATTTTCTGGCATTCCTCCTCCTCTTTTCTCCTCCTCCTCCTCCTCCTCCTGTCTCCTCCTTCTGCCTCCTCCTCCTGCCTCCTCCTCCTCCTCCTGCCTCCTCCTCCTCCTCCTGCCTCCTCCTCCTCCTCCTCCTGCCTCCTCCTCCTCCTCCTCCTGCCTCCTCCTCCTCCTCCTCCTCCTCCTCCTCCTCCTCCTGCTCAAGAGCACAGAGGGCAAACACACAAGGCGTCGAAGATCTCCTGGAGCGGCTCTGGACTCCCCCTTCGAGCGCGCCCCCGGGGCGGCGCCGGACGCGCCCCTGCAGGGCGGCCCAGCGCAGTTCCACGAAGTCCGCGTGGGCCTCCGAGAAGTTGTGCTTCTGCGGGTGGTTTCTTCCTCCATGGTTCGGGGGTGGACAGACCTCCTACCCTGACACGTCGATTAAGGAATCGGCCGCTTTCGGTTCGCGAGAGGGCGTCGCGGCCGTCATTCTTGCGGGTCCAGGTCCGTCGGTTTCGGTCCCAGGCCGTTTTCACTAAGGGGAGGTCTACTAAAGGGAGGTTTGTCCACCGCCGAATGGTAGCGACGACGGCGGTCGTTCCCACGACCTCCGAGATTCAGGAGGGGGAGGAAAAAGCACACACACACAGCCACAATCCATCCTCGAGAATCCACAAGATATGAGACACATTCCACAGCATATGGGGGAAGACGAAGATCCACAAGAATACATGGGGAAGACGACAATGGGAGAACCCGGGGAGGACGAACATCCACGAAAAGATGAGCAGTGGGAGCACCTGGGGAAGACGAGCATCCACAGCAGTGTATGAGCACACCTGTGCCCACCCCCCCCCCCGCCCGCCCGGCGTGCGCAGGCCTCGCCTGGGCGGCACAGCGCGGCGGTGCCCCCGGCCGACCCGTCCTCGCCGAGGCGGGCGGGTGGGGGTCGCAGGTTGGACAGATCCTCGCGTTCCCCCTCTCTCCTCCCTCCCCCCTCCCCCCTCGCTGCCTCTCCCTCCTCTCCTCCCTCCCGCCTCCTTCCTCCTCTTCCCTTCTCCCTCCTCCCTCCTTCTTCCTCCTCCTCCTCCCCCTCCGCCTCCTCCTGCCCCTCCTCCTTTTCCCTCCTCCCTCCTCCCTCCTCCCTCCTCCCTCCTACCTCCTCCCTCCTCCCTCTTCCTCCTCCTCCTCCTGCTCCTCCTCCTCCTCCTTCTCCTCCTCCTCCTCCTCCCCCGCCTCCCCCTAACATCGCCCCATCCACCTCGGTCGCCTCCACGGACCCCAGGAATGTCAACCGACGGCACAAGGCGAAAGGATGGTTCCGGGGGCGGTCCTGACGTTAGCTTGGACGGACCAGTTTTCGTGAGATGTTTGCAGCGGAGGGCGAGTCAAATTCCAAACCAGGTCCCGTCACTTTGTGACAGGCAAATTCGACTCCCACAAACTTGAGTTTTACGTCTACCCGATTATTCCCCTCGGCCTCTACTCCCCCAGACATCCCGCGCATCGAAAGAGTCATCACAGTCGACTTGCCGTCGTTTTTGCCCCTAGCAGGCCGATTTCAGGCCTCGGGGCGATAACGAAAACGACATTCGACGGAACGCCAGCCTCGGGAAAGTGGTCGATATGATTGGAGGCCCACGCATCAAGATATCGCAGCGACAGATCTATTGTCCTCGTTCTTCCCTCCTCTCATTCCCGTCCTTCCCTCCTTCCCATTCTTCATCCCTCTTCCGCCAAAGCCGCGGCCTTATGGCGCCGCCTGGGTCAGGCAGAGCTGCCCCCCTTCTCCCCCCTCGTTCCCCCCATCCTCTTTCCCCTCGTCCTCCTCCCCCTTGCCGCCTTCCTTCGCTGCAGCACCGCTCAACGCTGTGGTGCTGCCGAGCCCTGCAGAACCAGCACCGCTCAGCGATGTGTCGCTACCCACCCTTTCAAGGTGGATAGCAGCAAATCGCGGAGCGCTGCTGCGGCTGCTGGGTTCGGCAACGCCCCTTTGCCAGTTTCCTTCGAGGCCTTTCTTCGTTGGCCTCGCTGGAGCTCCTCGGCCGCCGCCGCCTCCTTCACCTCCGCCCCCTCCCCCCCCCTTTCTTCCCCTCCTGCTGCTCCGCCACAAGAGCCACGGCTTTGAGTCTTCAGTGCATTCTTCCTGCCTCGAATGCAGGGTGGAACCGATGAAGGTTTCCGCGCACGGCGGCAGTGCAGAGCGCCCCCCGCGAGCAGAAGGTTGGGGCGGGCGCCGTCGATCTCGGTGCCGCCGTCGCTCGCAGGACTTGCCGGCGCGTTGTGCTCATCGCTGGGCGCTGCCAGAGAGAGAGCTGGAAATTGTCAAACGCCGAGCTCGCCGAGCGCGTTCCGCTACTCGCTTTGGCAAAGTGCCTGTGCGCAGACGTCCGACAGAAAAACATGCTCCCCCATATGTGATGGATCGTAACCCCCCCCCGCGGCGGATCTGGGCCATTTGCAAGTATCGGGCCGGGCGAAAGGGGGGGATTGGGAAAGGGGGGATTACGAAATTTGCTGCATGCAGCTGGTTTCGGCCTAACCGAGGGGCCCATTCCTCGATACATAGCCGCTTCCTGCGCCGGGAGGCGCCGGGAAAATCAGCTACGTGAGCTGATTCTCACCCCCCCCTTTGCTAGCCCCCCCTTTCGCCCGACCCGAAAGTAGTCACTTTGCGAGTAGTGGAACGCGCTTGACTACGAGCGCTGGAATGGAACCTTCCAGGGGGGTGCCAGAGGTGCCCCGGGCCCAAGGTGCTCCCGGCTTTCCGCGCTATTTTGGAGCCCCTGGGCCCCCTTGGGCACCGCGAGGGGTGCTCCGGAGGCCGTCGGAGCCTCCATGGAAATCCTGGGGGCACCTTGGGGTCAGGGGCACTTCTGGCAACACCCGACCGGCATGAGACCGCAATTCACACCCGCCGCTCTGGTTTGGGGGTGCGCTCTTGCGGCCCGGGTGTTCCTGCCAGTTTGGCCACTTGGCATCTGGAACTACAGAGATGATGAGTTGTTTGTTGCACTTTTCGAGCGGGCTGCCGTTCGGCTCGAAGATGCGCAAGCCCAGCGCAGCTGGAACGTGACGGAAGCGGCTTTTATGCGGTATTGCTTGGGTTGTGTTTCCGCACTGTTGTTGGGGTGTCGGGCCTCGGGGTCTCCGAGAACACAGCCCACACACACGCACGCACGCACGCACGCACACACGCACACACAAGCACACACACCACACACACACCACACACACACGCCACACACACGCACTACACACACCATACACACAACACACACCACACACACCACACACACACGCACACACACACACACGCGCACACACGCGCACACACACGCGCACAGTCACATTCACACACTCACACGCATTCACACTCACATTCACACACACACATTCGCATTCACACCCACACACACACACCCACACCCACACCCACACACAAGCAACCACAAACAAACAAACACACCAACAAACAAACAAACACATAATCGATCAAGCAAACAAACAAACAAAAAAGAACACACACGCACAACCAAGCAAGCAAACAAACAAACACGCACACAGACACACACACACAGACACACACACAGACACAAACACACGGGTTGCGGGAGTGGCCGCAGGCCACCCTCGCAAGACATCCAACCCCGGAATCGAACAGGACCAGCGGCATACGCATAACGTGTTGGCGCTCCTCACGGGTTTCCTGGATCGGCGCTGGACCCTCCTCCCTGGGCGCGGAACGCGCCAGGAACGGCGTCGGAGGCGCCGCCAGGGAACCCAGCACCAATTCAAGAGATCTACTCGGAGCGCCACAGGTTTATGTTTATGCCGTCGCGCGAGGCGCCACCGGGAGTAAGCCCAGGGAACAATGAACGCAGCAGTTTCTTACTGCCCGCGGGAAGCCGCTGCGCAGCGCGCGAAGCGGAGAAATCCAGAGGCACTCTGGCGAAAAGTATTTGGTTTCTTGATGCTCGTCGCCATTGCACCCTCTTCCTCCCTCTCGGGATTCCCTCCCAGGGATCATTTCGATCTGATTGGTCCGTTTTGACATCGCTTCCGGCCAGTCCGATCCGAGTCGATTCATTCCGACGATCCGACGTCGCCTGGTGTTCGCATGGCGCCTTTGTGCAGCCTGGCGCAGCGGACCTGATTCGATCTCGACTGCGTGCCGATGCACCCCGATCCGACGAATACTCCGATTCGATCCGATTCCCCGATTCGATGATGATTGGTCCTGCCTCCTCCCTCCTGCCCCCTCGAAAAATATACGCTCGGAGGTTCGCGGTCCAGCGCCGATCCAAGAAGTCCGCGCGCTCTTCCTCGAGGCTATGTTTGACTGGAGTTGTGTCGTCTTCTATCCTCCCTCCCAACTCGGGGGGGGATCGGTTCAGCGGGAGACGCATCGACCCCCAGTCGCCCACTGATCGCCGATGTGGGCCCGACAGCACACCCGGGCCCAGGACCGCCCCGCCCGGAGCTGTCGCTGAGGGTCTGGCACCCGGCCAACCGCGATGCATCGCCGATTCCATGGTCGAAGTTCCCCCACCCTCTGAGCTTGTGATGTTCCAATCTACTGTAGCCTTGACCACCAGAGACAGTACCGAACCTGGAGGGCTGGCACGTGTCGGGCCCCTGGGGGAGGCGGTGCTCGTTCGACACCTTTTCGATACTCTGTTCTGGGTGCTCGGAATTAGTTCTGGGATGTGGTGCTTCAGTACGACGGGAGCAACACAACCCGGAGCTTGCCCCCCCCCCCCCCCCCAATCGTTGCCCCTCACCAGTCTCCTTACCCAGACGGCCCGCCGCCCCGACCCCCGCCCTCCCCTCCCCTCTCCCTCCCGATCCTCACTCGCCGCCCTCACCACCAGCGGTCTTCACCCTCCTTCGGATGCAGCTCCTGCGGGGTCAAGTTCTGACTCTGCCCTTGTCCGAAATCTGGCTCCATCCCATCCCGCTCAATCTGGGCTAATCCCGCTGAAGCCGGCTCGATCCCGCGTAACAGCCCCCCAGTGGGGCTAAATCCTGCTCAATCCTTCCGACGAGGACCTCCCAGCAGTTGCCTCCTAACCTTCCCCTCCCCCTCCTTCTCCTCCTTCTCCTTCCTTCTCCTCCTACTCCTCCTCCTCCCCCTCCTCCTCCCCCTCCTCCTCTCCTCCTCCTCCTCCTCCTCCTCCTCCTGCTCCTCCTCCCCTCCTCCTCCTCCTCCCCTCCTCCTCCTCCTCCTCCTCCTCTCCCTCCTCCTCCTCCTCCTCCTCCTCCCCCTCCCCCTCCTCCTTCCTCCTCCTCCTCCTCGTCCTCCTCCTCCTCCTCCTCCTCCTCCTCCTCTCCCTCCTCTCTTCCCTCCTCCGTCCCCCCTCTCCGAACCTCCTCCCGATCCTCGCCCTCTCCTCCTCCGCTAGCCCAGCCGCGCCGCGCCGCCAGGCTCCGGTCCAGAGGATCGGCGCCAGCAATAACTGCCCGCCCGGCGCCTCAAGCCCTGGCTTGCGTGCTTCCTCTTACTCTGGCGTGCTTCCTCCTCCTCCTCCTCCTCCTCCTTCCTTTCCTCCTTCCTCCGCCTCCTCCTCCTTCTTCCTCCTCCTCCTTCTCCTCCTCCTCCTCCTCCTTCGTCTCCTCCTTCCTCTCTCCTCCTCCTCATCCTCCTCCTTCCTCTCCTCCTTCCCCTCCTCCTCCTCCTCCTCCTCATCCTCCTCCTCCTTCTCCTCCTCCCCGAGTCCTGGATGGGCCGAGGGGTGGAGCCGCGGTGCCCTGGGGGGCAGCCGTCTGGGGCCTGGCCCTGCGGGCCAGGCGCGCGCCTCGAGACCTGCGCGGTGCGTAGGTCGCCCAAGACGGGCGAAGCCTGGCATCAAACCTGGCATTTATTCTCAGTCTCAGCCTCCTCCTCCTCCTCCTCCTCCTCCTCCTCCTCCTCCTCCTGGTCCTCCTCCTGGTCCTT